CATAATTTCATTAACTAGAAAATTAAAAATACCATACAAACTTAAAAAAAAAAATAAAAAAAAAATAAAAAAAAAAAAAAAAAACATTGAAAAAAAACACACAATAGTCATAATAAAAAATAAAAATAAAAATAAAAAATAAAAAAAACATTGACAAGCTATTCTTCGCCCAAGTATTTTTTTTCTCTATCTGTGCCTTCATCCTACGTATCACTTCAGTTCGTCTCGGTGGTAAATTTTGTTCGTTTGTCGTAAGAATTGTCAAATCCTTCGATATGCGATCTTCTTGGGCTTCTTAACGAAGGAAATCCAAATGTTCTTGTTGCAATTCGAATCTTTTATTTGCGATTTCCGTGTGGGCGTCGAATTTTTTTTTTTCACTTCCTCGTGCTCTTGAAGCCGACTTTCATTCTTCTCCGCATGTCGTTGAGCGCGTTTCGTTTTGTGACGCCCCATAGGTCGTCGTGGCGGAGAGATTTCCTCGATGTCGTCAAACTCGTCCGGGATCTCATCGGTATCCGCGTTGAGGTCGATGTTCGTGTGTCCGTCGGAAACGTCAACCGAACCCGAACCACGAGACCTTTTGGATTGTTGTTCCGATGATGTTGGCGTTTTTATCCATTTTGGATCTTTCCTCACTAACTCCCATACTTTTTCATACTCAAATATGTGCCCCCCATTTGCACATGATATTCCTCCCTCACGGCTCTAAACACATCGAAATCATTGGCACCACTTTGGTGTTGCGAAGAAAGTTTGTTGTATATGGAATTGAATTTGGTGCACTTCCGACTAATTTGAGTCCATTTGCCACTAAGCATATCATTATTGCGATACGTGTCACCCTTGTTTAAAATTGTGCGGAATTTGACGATTATGGCACCCCAGAAAGCAACTCTCTTCATATCGTTCCCCATAGTTGGTTGTTTTGAAGTACCGCACCAAGTCATCGCCAACGCATGCTCTTCCTCCGGTGTCCACCATATTGGAGGTGATTCTGTTTCGTCCGTCCCTACAACAACCTCTTTCCCTTTCTTTTTTGGTCTCCCTTTTTTCCCGATGCTCTCTAACTACCACCAGCTTGCATCTCGACCACGGGTTCTTGCGTGTGTATGGGTTGTGTGACTGTTTGGCGCATGGGACCGAATGTGGTAAAAAGGTTTTGTTGAATGTTTGCATTTTGTTGCATAAATGGCGAGGTAGGTAATTGTATTAGGGGTGAGGTTGGATTGAAAAAATTGCCGGAATATGGAATTTGTGGTGAGTTTTGGGAGGTTAGGCTGGAGGGAGTGGTGCCACCGAAACCGCACTCCCTCCCCCGCCACATCAGCGCCATGTCACTTTTTATCACTCAAGTGTGGTTTCTTGCCACACCAAGGGTGTGGTGCCACACTAAGGGTGTGGTGCCACATTTTTCATTTCTTTTCTTTTTTTTTTAAGCATTTTAATTTAATAAAATTTCTTTTTTTTTAACTAATTTAATTTAATATACCTTCTATTTTTTAATAAAAAAAACATAATTCTTCATTACTTGAAAATAATAAAAAAAAAAAACAGTACATTGCGTTACCAAAAAAAAACCACACACATGACATTTAAATAACCCTAGAAACTTAAAAAACATAAATAAAATAACTAAAGGAAACTACATAAAGTCGTTCTCCGAGAACTCATCTTCGGGGTCATCCGGTGGATCCAAATTAAGGTTAATGTTTTGAACCCCGTAAATGTGTTCCACCAAGTCATTGCGAAGATTGTGAAATGTTTCGGTGCAACGTATCTCTGCTCTCCTGTTTATATACTCTTCGCCACCAATTTCTATTGGTTGGGTCTCTGGTATGATTTCTTCCTCGTCAAACGCACATATCGCTCTTCCTTCGTCTTCAATAATCATGTTATGCAATATAATACATGTATACATGATTTCTTGAAGTTTTTCCTCGCCCAAATAAGCTGCTGGTTTTTTCAATATGAACCACCGTTTCTTCAGAGCTCCAAAAGCACGCTCAACATCCTTCCTAACTCTTTCTTGAGCTCTCTTGAATTTCTTTCGTCTAGAACCATGTGGAGCTGAAAACGACTTAACAAACACAGCATACTCAGGATAGATTCCATCGACCAGATAATAACCATACTTATATGGCGTTCCATGCACTTGAAAAGAAGAATCTGGTGCGGATCCATCGTATATGTTGTTAAATATTGGTGAACGGTTAAGAACGTTGATGTCGTTAATCGAACCAGGAGAACCAAAAAAAGCATGCCAAATCCACATATCTTGTGATGCAACTGCTTCAAGTATCACCGTTGGGTGACCATGATCACCTCGAGTAAATTGCCCATGATATGCTGTAGGACAATTTTCCCATGCCCAATGGAGACAATCTAAGCTTCCTAGCATTCCAGGAAACCCATGCACACTAGCATGATGAGCTTGCAATTGCAAGATGTCATTACGTGTAGGCTTACGTAAATATTTTGGACCATAAAACTGAATGATAGTTTTGCAGAAAAAATGGAGACTGTCTCGTGCTATCCTAGCAGACATCCTAAAACTTTCGTCTAACGCATCAGGCGGAATATCATATGCTAACTGACGAAGTGCGGCCATGCATTTTTGTAACGGAGTGAAACCGGGTGTACCTCTAGCATCGTAGCGTTGTTGGAAAAAACTGCACTCCCTCGTTACATCTTCAACTATACGTTCGAATAAACCTTTGAGCATTCTGAAGCGCCTACGAAAATAATACCCTTGGTAAGTGGCATTCTCTGCAAAATAGTCTTGCACCAAACGTTGGTTGGCTTCTTCACGATTTCTGTAAATGTATCTCGTGTTCTCTGTTGAGAACTTGCAGCTGCGTTGTTACATACAACGTTGTATGTTTGTTCCGCCATTTGAACACACGCAATAGCGGTATCAAAAATAGTCTGAAATTCTTCAGAAGATGAAGAAGATGACATTTTTTGGAGAGTGGTGATTTAAAAAAAAAAAAAAAAAAAATTGAGAGAGAGAAGATTGTGTTGTGAAAAAAAAAAAAAATTAAGTTTGATATGTGTATATATAGGAAGGAAAGAAAAAGCAAAAGGAAAAATAAATAAATAAATAAATAAAATAAACGAAATTGCATTCAACGGTCAAAAATTTGACCAACCAATCACGTTTCGTGGTCTTCAAAGGCCGCACCGCGGTCTCAACTGCAGGAAACCGCACCCTGGGGGCGGTGTTCCCTGATGAGGTGGCAGCCAAGTGCGGTCCCAAACTGCACCACACCGTACAGCCTTAGAAAGTTCATGTATCCCTCATATCCCCTAAAACCCAATGGAGTTGATGTGTTTGTCTTCGGAGGAGGGGTATTCGGGATTTGATCCATAGAGGGTAATTTTTTTTGAATGAAATAGAGATGGATATAGATAAATAGAGATAGAGGTAAAATATATATATATATATATATATATATATATATATATATATATATATATATATATAATATATATATATATATATATATATATTATATATATATATATATATATATATTTGTTGATATATATAAAGTAAATTGAAATTATACCGTATGCAACGGTATTATTACCGTTTTTCAACGGCTAAAAAAATAAAACGTTCGAATTTTTACATGTTATGGTTCGTTATCGTGGTAACATCTAATGGCGTAACGCGCCTTAACGCGACCCTGGGGCGGTGTTCCGCGCCATGGCACTATTAAAGGCGTACGCCACGTCAGATAACGCGGTAGCCGTGTTGCCCACACCCGAGAGACTAAACATTTGTTAGAATAAGGTAAAAACATTTCTTAAATTTTCTTGAATCAAAACAATTGAATACTTCAGACCATACTAAGATATCACAGCCTCCATCCTACAATAAAATACATCTAGCGTGGTTTGGTTTGCACTTCACAAGATTTGCCCTTACATGTTCCTCCTCATATTTTTATTACTTTATCTTCTTTCTTGAGCTCTATGTGATGCCCTTCGATAAGCAAGATAGAATTAGCTTCATAAACAATCACGGCATACTAAACTGTGTTTTTACTTAAGAAATTGATTGATAAGAAGAAATCTTTTTCAAGATCAATTGCTTTAATTCGTCTGACGTTATTGTATTATCTTGTCCGTTGTTTTTCAAAATTGATTCAAGATCAATCAATTGCTTTAATTCTTCCCAACTACCAATCGGTCTTCTCAAAAATTATAATAAGATAATAAAATTAAATTACAAAAAGTCAATTAAGAAAAAAAAAAAAAAAAAACATTAGTTTTTTATCATATTTGTGAATAACTCATTATGTTCTATCTCTCGGCAGTCAATGATATGTTTACCGGCTAAACTCTCAAATATACAAACAATTGCAAGTCCTTTTTGTTATTTATTGTCAAAAAACTGTTAAAAAGGCCATAGTTTAATAGATAACATTATTACCAATTAGTTGTAGATAATATGTCAAAAATATTATAATAATTGATAAGTAGACATTTTAATTTTTAAAATTTAATCATTTGATCTATAACCTTCTTTTATTAATTAAGTAATAAAATACATCAAAGATCATCTGATTATTACAACTTCAAACAAAACATCCTGTATTATTAGAGTTGATTATCTAATTCTGTTTATTTTATGTCAAATAATTCACGTTCAAGCACCCCAAAACACTTGTTAATAATAAATACATCATAAATCGACCATCATATAATATGTTTCCATCGCCAAAACAAGACAGAGCATTGGCATCTAATTTCTTTAAAAAAAGTCCAACAACATAATACTTTCACCACATCATATATACTCTCAAACAACAAATTAAATGGTTACTAAAAGCACATCTACATGAAAAGAGTGTCATTTTACATATAACAAGATAATTAAAAAAACAACAACATCTCACATTCACATTTTGATTTTTTTCACTATTATGGAATTGGAATCATTCATTGAGGATGCGTATATATATTACCAGAGCTCAAGCAGAACTACCAGACTAAGAGATCAAGTAAATGATTGTTGCTGTCATCGTGCCCAGCAAGCCACCAGCAATAACCTACGAAAAGTATGTAAATATAAATAAAGATGAATCTTCACATAAAAATGACGAATATACCCTTTATGAAAACAGACCTGAGGAGGGGTGTGGCCAAGAAGTTCACGTAAAGGTATGCTCTCAGCTAAAGGATGTTCAGCTGGAAGTTCGTATACGATTTGATTCAAAACCTAAAAATTTTCCAATTTTACACATAAAGAGATGATATCTTTACCATAATTCATAAAAATTTTGATTTTTATAAGAAATCAAACAAACAGCTTGCAATCTTACACCAGTTGCATCATACATGACCTGACACAAATTTCCAATTTGAAAACAATCATCAAACCGACAATCATACAATACAACAGTAGAAACGATGAAGAGGAAGAGAGAGATGATAATTCATACAATACAAGCTATGATGAGTGCAGTTGCGAAGGAAGAACCACCAAGGCCATCTTGTAAACCAACAGCAACCGCAAGAGCAGTTACTGTTGCAGAATGGGATGAAGGCATGCCGCCAGATCCGATGAGTTGCTTAAGATCCCAACGATGTTCCCTATACCTGCATATCTACCAAATCGATATAAGAGACTCTTAGTCTTAGCTGCTGTTGCTTTTTCACAAACATGAATTAATCGGGTAAATTATTCATCAAGAATTAACAAAGTAGTTGATTTATGACGTAAAGCTGAGCTCACAGTCTCGGATAACAACAAACGAGTCTCTATCAACTCGCTAGATACGGAAACCTAGATTGGCGGATTAAACAAGCAACCGAATAGACAAAGATCATCATCCAGACGTAGTTTTCGCATACAATTAAAACTAGATTCAGGCCTGAATGATCGAAATTAACTAAACCATACCAGGTGGTGAAGACCTTAATGGACTGCGCAAGAGCGAAAGCAGCGAGTGCAGAGAGTAAAACATAGTTCATATAAACAGGCCGAGAGGACGAGGAAGAAGTGAACGAAGGCGAGGTTGGGACTGAATTGTGGGATGTCGGCAACCATGAAGATGATGAAATTGCCAATTCACCTACTGGTCTCATCTCTGTATGAAGGTGGGTGGGTGGAAATCAGAAATTGATGATTTCGAATCGAAATTTGGGGAATTGGGTATTGGAAAACGTAAGGAAATATGAGGAAATAAGAAGCAAAGTTAATGTTTTTGGTTTAATTGTGGGCAGAGGAAGAATCTTGAAGATGCTCTTTTTCCCTCTCTTTGAATTAAATAATCAGTTGGAGCCCTAATTCTCTAATATCATAGAATATGCTATTGTTATTTCTTTTAGATACCTTCACATCAATAATTCACGACAAAAGCTTGTACGCTGTGGTTGTATATCAGTATATCTATACTTATATATAGGGACAAGCAAAGGAACCGACCCGGCTGGAAACAGTCCGAATCGGACCCGGCCCGAGAACCGAAGTCGGCCGAAATTAGGAACCGAAGTAGACTATCGGTTCTACCGGTTCTTGTCGTGTCTTCAATGTTGGAATCGGTCATCGAGAAATAGCAACATACGGTTCCAATTTTTACCGGTTCTATCAGGTCTGGTTCTAACAGTTTCGGTTCCTATCGGTTCCCAGTTCCAAAAATCCATAAGAATATCGTCCCGGTCCCGGCTCGACCCGACCGGTTCCATTGGGTTCCAGTTCCGATACCGGTTTCGGCCAGTTCCCCGGTCCAAATATTCATCCTTACTTATATCCTTTGTGTTAATAGGAAAAACAATATTTGAACCTTGGCTTTCAATATCCGGTGTGGATTCAAAATAAACTCATTATTTAACTAAATTTTAGAATTTGAAATTGGCTTGAAGTTTTTCAAAGTGGTTTCGATTTGAGTGTTTCCGGTGGCGAGTCTAGAACGTAAATGCACATGGTTTACTATTTAAATGAATCTGATAGAAAATGATAATTTAAAAAAAAAAAAAAAAAAAAAAAAAGTAGTTGTGCGTCTGGATCGATTCGATTAAAATGGTTGCCAATACAGTGTAGATGTCGGATCTACTGCTTTCCTTCTTGCTCCTTCTTTTAAAGCCCTTCTCTAACACACCACGGTTTGTTAATCAAAGCTCTTACTCTCACTCAAGGGGGTTCACGGTCGAAAACAGTTTTCTCTAGGTAGTAAGGTGCTACGGGAGGCCACAAGGGGCATGTTATGATCCTTATATAGTGTACAAACCCTCAAATTAGGGTTTTCTCTCTACAACTCCTACTGAATCGAGTCGGGCCTTCTGACTCGTCGAGTAGGTCTTGACCCCCATGTCCATGAGATGGCCTCTACTCGACGAGCTAGGGCATCCAACTCGTCGAGTCCATGCACAAAACCCTAAAAAAGATTATGTAAATTACTTAATACCTGAAACAAGTGTTACACAAAGGCATTAGAAGTTCAACATATAGTGACAACGCCAAGCGATGGAGTTTGTTTCAACAACTCCTCGTGAAGACGAAGGTCTGCAATAAGACTTTGTAACTCTAAATTTATTAAAAGAAGAAAGATTGTAAGAGACTTATCAATACTTTCTTAATTTGTTTCATTAACTTTAATGTATTTATCATTATCAATAAAAAAAATTATTGATTCAATAAAACGTTGTTGAGATATTATGCGTATATCAATGATACATAGAAATTCATCCATGTATATTTTTTCAATGAAAATTGTAACTATTATTCAATATTTTTATTTTTATTATTTTCAAAAAATTTGGGGATGACTCTGCAATGTTATTTTTCTTTTTTTGATTCTTGGCGTCACTCTTTTTATTCATTATTGTTATTTCATATTTGATTGTGTTTCTTTTATCAATCTTACGTTTCATTTCCTCTTCTTTCACTGAATAATTTGTCCAACCCGTAAATCAAATATAACTGAGTGATTCATGAACTATTTGATTGTTGAATTCTTTAAAGTTTGAGCTTCATTTGCTTCATATATTTCTATCGGTATAAATAATGGAATTTTATTTCCTTTTAAAATGTCTCTTATTATTTGTTTTATAAAGAAAAATCTTTTTGCTTCTTTCTTTTCTTTTTTTTACTTTTTTTTTTAAATCTTTGAACTCTAAAATTTATTTTTCTAATTTCGACTTTATAGTCAATACCTTTGAAAATAGGTTAAAATTGCAGTTGTTTTTTTAAGGAAGGCCAATAGGATATCCCATTTCCATTCCAAAAAGTGTTGAAAAAAACAAGAATCGGAATTCTCTTGTTGTTTTAGATCTCTATTAGAATCATAGAGTCATAGCTTAGATCTTTACCAAAGTTTCAATTGAAAAGGATGTAGGATTTTTATTTGAAAAAAATCTTCTTAACAAATTATTAGGGAATTTTATTTTGGAGAATTGAGGACCATTGTAGCTGCATTTTAGATAAAATTTTTATTCAAATCTTGGAAATCCCTATACCATTTCCAAGATTGTCGTGATAAAATACGGACAATATATTCATAGGTTTTATCAATAAAGGTAATTAAATATATGTGGAATGTTCTCGAGGAATTACATTATTTCATCATGGTTATTTTATGTGTGTGCGTGCATGAGCAGATGAGATGGAGGATTGTTTATTTAAAATTTCAAAATTTGACTTTTCACCCTATCAAACTTTATTATTAAGAAAAAATGATTAGGTCACATATTGGAAAAGGAAAATCTTCTTTTTTTTCCCAAAAAACAAAAAAAAAATGAGGATTTCCTTAATATGGTCCCCCAAAAAAACAATTTATGCCTTTGAGCGATAATATATTTCATTTTTCCAATTTATATACATTAGTAAACACACCCCTTCTATTAATTTGGTTTTAACAAATATATAATCTTTAATTTTTTATTAGAATAATATTAAATTAATAAAATTATATTTATAACACATTTATAAGCTTTTATAAAATACATTATCGTTTTTTAAAATTACAATATGTATTTAACTTTTTATATGAATTGGATGAACAAAAAACAAAGTTTATATTTATAATTAATTAATATAATTTAATATATAGCAATATATTACAACTATTAAATATTACATTTAGATAATGATTAGTAGGTAAAAAAATAAACTAAAAATATATAAATATATAAACAAAATGGCTAAAACTGACTTGCATCATCATTTTGGAAGAAATGAATGATATTCATTTCTCCCAAAATGGGAGAATAAATAAAGAAGGGTCAAAGAAGAATGGAGGAAAAAATGAAAATTGAGAATAGGTTGGAGATGCTCTTAGAAGGTAAGAATTATCATAAATGCAACTTTGAGAAAAGCAGACATAATTAATTATATGTGGAATAGTTTTACAACAAGGAACATCTCTTTATTTTATGAAAGAGAAAGAGAAAGAAAAAGTCCAAGAAGAAGGTAACAAAAGATTTGTATGCTATACATTTGTCATAATCTATAACAGAGCAACTATCTAAAGGGCTTCGAGTACTCAAACTCTAGCTACAGGAACAAGACAACAAGGTAAGTGTGTGGATCTAGATCTATAAAGTTAGAAACAAAGACAAAGGGCCAATGACAATATTCCGTGAAGCAAAACATTTATTTAAACGGCAGATTTTCCTGCAGAATCAATCAGTTGTGCTTTTGCCGCTTCCATTATAACATTAAAGTTTGTTTCAATATATCTCCCCCTGAAAAAGAAAAAGAAAAATCCTTAACTAATGTAGAAATGTCAAAGAAATTGTAGGAAAAAAAAAACGTTGTGACATCATCTGAAGCTTACCAGAAATGAGTTTTAGACCAAGTTGAAGAAGGAAATGATGGACTTGCTATACCATGCATTATCCTAGCAACCGCACGAGGGGTAAATTTGGTGTGTGAGTTGCTCTGTAGAAACACCTACAACACCCCAAAAATCAAGTTATTAAATAAAACTAAAATAAATATCATTAAACACCTAGAAATAAATTAACTAATTGTCAGTTCAATAATATCATTTGAAATGTGTTTGTTACCTTGATATCTGCTTTTAAAAAGCGGCTGTATAGAAACAAATTTGATGTGAGTCGGTAAATAATAGAATTAGTATAGAAAACGAAAAAAGGAATAAGCCATATTATGTATGTGTTTGCAATTTGTAAAGTAAAGCTGACCTGGCTTGGCCCATTTTATTTGGGATATTATTGTCGTTATCTGCATTGAAGTAATCCAAGAGCTTTTCTTGTAAGCATGCCGTGTGTTGGGAATTACTGCAACCCTTTCTTCTATCACACGTTTTCACTGCAAACACTGCAGCATTAAACATCGCGTCTATTTTACGCACCTGTCTCAATTAATATTTCCAAATAGTAAGTAAGCAATACAAAAAAAAATAATAATAATCATGAAATGAAAACACCGCAAATATATCATATGAATAGTTTTTTTTTTTTGTAATTTACCTTGCAACTCTCGACTTCTGATAACCATTCAGCCAGATCTGTTGCCAAGGAACATATATCTTTTGGGAAATTTAAGATTGTGTAACAATAAGCTGGATCCTTGAGCTCATATGTAATTTCTCCCTTGGCCTAAAACAAAACATATTATCTTAAAATAAAAATAAAAAGTTCATAAACAGGTGAAAAAGTGAACCAAACAAACCTTTAAAATGTGCAACTGATTAGAAATGGTAGAAGCTTGAACTCCAATGCTAGATGCGACAGTTGGTATGTCAAACACATATTGTCCATCTTTTATTTCAGACCTGAATCATATTCTATTTTATTAGCGAATTAAAATAAAAATGCACAATTTCATAATGGCCTATACTAAATACTCACTTTTTCAAAATTGCATTGATCACAGTGTCCTTAGCAGCAAGCAATGCTGGGGACGTCTGCATTCATCAACAAAATTGCCAAACACATAAGTCAACTATACTGCTATAATGAAAGTCAAAGGGGAGAGAGTATGTAGGGGACGGGGACCCACCATATGAAAATTTACAACACATGTGACACTTGCTTGGGGAAGTAAACGCAAGTACTGCTCTTCAGCTAACTCCAAGCGAGTTAAGATAGTCAGAATCACCTGAAACAATCACTGTTAGTGTCAGAATTTGTATCAACTCCATATAGTAATAATACTGAGGTAAAAACACCAAACCTCTTCTTTCATGTCAAATTTCCGAGAAGCTGATTCCTTGACTATTGAGCAAATCCTTCCTTTTGAATGTGAATGTGAATCCCCGATGAAAACTTGAGATAGGAACTTATTTACTGTGTATTCATCTACTCCATCACTGCAGCAGAGACATATCACATATGGTAAAGGTTAAATCTCTTTTTTTACAGAAAAAAACTTATACAATGTGAACTGGAAGCTTGCAAAAAGTTATACCTGTACATGAGACTCCTTAGCTTAAAGTATGTCGTGTCATCAAAAAAGAGATGACAATGAGATAATCGCCCATCACGTCCAGCACGTCCAATTTCCTATAAATATTAAATAGTTTTTTAAATCAAAATTCTAACTGATTGATATTTGATATATAGGTATATTATATGATATGAAATGAACCTGAACGTATTCTTCCAAGCTTTCAGGCAAACTGTAGTGAATTACCTGTAACAGATAATTATGTGCTTTCAATTTATAGATTACGATTTAAAACAAAGAGAAAAAAGAACAATAATAAAGATTTCTTCTTACAGCACCAACATCGCTTTTATCAAGCCCCATACCAAAGGCCACAGTTGCAACAATCTTTTAAACAAGGAGAAAAAAGATTGTGAGAAACAATGAAATATTGGATTTAATCTACTTTCATTAAAATGAAAGGTTTAGAAATTATAGAAAAGAAAAAAACATGAAAGATTTATGTACCACACGTATCTTGTTTAAACAGAACTGCTCTTGTGAACGCCTTCGGTCTTTAGCAGGGATCCCACTATGATAACTCTAATGTCAATTTGTTGTTAGTATCATCATATTGAAATCATCAAAATATTATATATGAGATATGTCTAATCACTAATGCCAATCTGTTTACCTTTGCCCGGATATTTCCATCACATAAAACCTTGCTGATTGTATCTGTTTCCCACTGCAATTAAAATTCAGGATCTTTCAATTTTAAAATTTCATTTTAGGTGGTAAACATGTTGCATACATGACACTGACACATACCTGATATTTGCAGTAAATTATAATGCTTTTAACCTCTGTGTAAGGTGAAGCCTTGAGCAATATCATAAGATCCTTCATCCTGAATTAATTGACAGATTAGGATCATGAACATCTTTCTTTCTAAAATTGGGATCTAGCAAAAGCATTTTTCACTTGCCTATTTTCACTCAATGATACAGACAGCTGCAAGTTATCCCTGGTTTGCTCTGCTTGAACAAGATTTGTAGGAGGAATCTCAAGAGAGTGCATCACATCATGCAGGGTTTTGGTAGTTGCAGTTGCTGTCATTGCAAGAATGCAGTTTACTCCAAGACTATAACGAAGTATGGATGCTCTAAGCCTCATATACGAAGGACGGAAATTATGTGACCTGTGTACTTGCATTAATGTGATGTGGGATAGAAGCTAAAAAGTGATGAAATGAAATAAGCAACTCACCATTCAGAAATACAGTGGGCTTCATCAATCACAACTAGTGAGATAAGTGAAGTTGTAGAAAATATGGATGTAAATTCTGCATTTAGTAATCTCTCTGGAGAAACAAAAAGGACCTGAAACACATATAGAACAATGTATATGTTCAAAAAGATTTCAACTCAGTAAGAATTATCGATGAACAACTCACCTTCAAGGCTCCTTCTTGGACCCGCCTAAATGTTTCTGCACTCTCTTCTAATGTCTACAACAATAGTATAGACAACAATCAGGCATATGAAAGTATGAACTGAAATGAAAGAGCAGAATGTATATACACAGAGATAATACCTGACTGCTACATAATAAACCACCTGGAATCACTGGTGGCAGCTGTTTGAGTTGATCAAACATGAGTGACACCAATGGACTAATGACAAGTGTCATTCCCTGTAGAACCATAGCAGGCAACTGATAACACAGTGATTTCCCAGCCCCAGTTGGCAAAATCACCATACTTGATTTCCCAGAAAGTATAAATCTAATAGCCTCCAGTTGTCCAGCCCTAAAAGAATCATACCCATGAGTAATCTTCAACAGCTTGATTAGATTCTCATCAGATGGATCATGTCGAACATTCAGCACAGCCTGCTCAATCACTTCTGAATCAAGTCTCGTTTCAGTCTCTTTATCTTCCTCCAATGGAAAACCTTCTTCTTCACACAAACTCTGCTCCTCTTCTCCTTCACCTCCACCTTTCCGCTTTCGTTTGATTCTCTTGTAAGACTTGCGACTTGAATTATAAGCATTCGGATTCTTTTTTCTAACTCTGTTTGCATACTTCTTGCGTCCCCCGTGACCATTGATGTTCAATCTCACAAAGTTCCCTTCATTTACAAGTTTAGGCTTGCTCACCTGCTCCTTGGGGTAAACGCCGCTCGGAATCAAGTTAGGATGCCTCTTCACAACTTTCCCTGAATCTCTAGCATTAACATCTCGACCTAGGGTTTCATTTACACACGTAGGGTCGGGCGTATTCGGATGTTCCATTCGAGAAGTATAACTCCCAATCAAATTCGGATGCTCCTTCACAATTGTTTCCGAGTCTATGACAGTAGCATCTCCGGCTTGGCTTTCACTAACTCCGATTTTGGCTTCCAAACCATGATCAATTCCTTTTTCGGTTGATTCTAAGTTCAAGCAAAGCTTACGGTTCTTATAAATTGACGCGAAGCGTGAGCTACGAGCTAGAAGATTCTCACCCTGACGAATAGTAGCAAACGAATCACAACCGGATGACCGGTGAATTTTAAACGGTAGTTCAGCTGGAGGAATCTCAATGGGACCAATAGTATCCGACGAGGGACAACCGGAGGACCGGTGAATGTTAGATGGTAGCTCAGCTGAAAGAGTCACAGTCGGAGCAATAGAATCCAACGAATCACCACCGAAGGACCGAGGGGTTTGAAGCGGTGGGTCAACATCAGGAGTACGCATAGCGGATGGAGTGGCGCTTTGAATCGGGACAGTTCCATCTGTTTGAATTGTAGATTTAGAAGGCGGGAGCTTAGTCTTCTTGGTGGATGGTTTAATTCTCAAAATTGGCCGGGAGAAACCGGATTTGGTTTTCGATTTGGGGTTTTTTTGTTGGTTACCAGAAAACAGAAGAGTATGTGGTGCCTGCGGTGGCGGTGGCCGATGGAGAGGAGGCTGATATGGTTGACGAGGAGGCGTGGACGAGATGTGAGATCCACCGGAGTCTGAATCAGAGTTATCCATTGGAGAACGGCGCCGGAGGAAGAGAAGAGATAGAGAGTAAATATTTAAGGGCTCATGTTTTCCCGCCTTCTCTGGTTGTGGGAAAATTTTAATTTTTAATTCATGCACATTAAATTACTGGACACTTTAGTATGCAATGATGAATGATGTATGAAATTAATTTTATCAAAAACCAGATTTTACGCAGGATATATAATTTGTTTTGAAAATGATTACACATCCATCAGTTACATTATATTTTGTTAACGTGCATGGCAAATAAGATAACGTGATTGAAAATTCACTCATAAGAACAAAAACAAAAGAAATAAAAAATTATTAATACTTTGATCTCAATAAAAATAAAATTACAAAAACAGCCCTGAAAGAGAAAGCAACTACGAAGCACATTCCAGATGTACAAACCCAAATAAGATATGGCAACAATCAACAATCGAAGAAAAAAAAAGAATGACAGGGCTTGTTGTTTGTTTTATATGTATACGGATAACACTAATACCCGGATACAAGAATAGAATACTATCGTCAACCTACCAAATTAAACTTTAAACCCACCCTTTACAAATATGCTTACAAGTTACAGTTGCAACAAATGAAGTGGAACCCAAAAAATAAAATAAAACCCCAAGAACAGGACAAGTGCATGGGAATGTACAGCTTTCACTGCAAGAGTGATAGCTATTATTTCACATTATTGTGCAGTTGCATTTAGATTCCAGCATCGGAGGTTTTTTACTCTCCCCATTGTCCCGAACCCCCCCAACAATACGGGTTTTGTGCTGATCGATTTTACCTTCAGTGGTGTTGGGGGATTTTGTGGGGTCGCTTTCTGTGTCCTTTTTGTGTCTGGATTTTTGGGATTTTGATGAGCGTTTGGTTGTGTTGCTGTTGCGGGGGGTCTGAGGGTCAGGTTCATTGAGATGGGATTTGCGTGTGGCTGGAATGAGTGGCCAGGAAGAGTTGTTGTTGTCTGATGATGGGTCTTGGTTGTCAATGGCTATGGTTGCAGCATTGTGGGCCAGGTTGTGGACTATTGAACTGCAAAAGAGTATCGTGTCTGTTGCTTCTTCTAGTGTCAAGCTTCTTCCTTCGTCTTCAATCAATACTATGGATTCCCCTGCCATCACTAAAACTTAGCATCCATGACATGCATGTGGGCGTCTTTCATAATTACAAAAAACAACTTTACTTTAACTTTTTGCCAAATTTACATTTTACTTTTGCTTTTTGCTTTTCAGATATGGGCCAAATTCACGTCCAACCAATACAATACCATTTATATCTTTTCACCTTCTAAAAAAATCATTTTTTTCCAATTATCCCGTTTTATAAAAGGTATACGCAAAAACACAATATTTTTTTTACTTTTTATCGATTTAGCCGCTCAACTACGGCCAAATGCATTATGTATTAAGATTTTAAATATATATATATATATATATATATATATATATATATATATATATTATTTATAAAACACGTACCAATAACGTTGCTTGTGTGATTAGAAGTCCCAAAGTCCTCTGCAGAAAGCGTTACATCTTCCGGCAATTCTTCAATGCTGCTAATTGAATTTTGTAAAACATCACATTTTGAAGGAGAAGCTGATTCTCCTTCTAAAATCACATCCAATGGAACTTCTGCAACATCGGCGTCATCATTACAAGAATCAAGAGCTGTATCATCAGCTCCCAAATCTTCAGCTTTCTGAAATCCAACACTCTCTTCTTCATCTTTCAAGATATTAGTCAATAAAGAGTCCCCAGAATCAACATTGTCATTTTCCTCTTCATTGTTTTCTTGAACATCTTTCCCAGATGAATCAAGTGTGCTTGTTCCAAGGCTCGAAGGATGGAAAACATGGCTAGAAGTTCCAGACAATGAGGATCCACTTCTCTGATGCTTTGAGTGTTCGATTTCAGATTTGGTGATGCTTGATTGACGTTGAAAACGGGTATCTGATTGTCTACTTTGACCAAAGTCAACAGAAGATGTGGCAGATACACTTCTCATGCTATTTGTAGTGTCTCCTCTAACATAAGAGAAATCATCATACGAAATGCTACTTGCTGAAAAGTTTGTGTTGCGGACAACCGCGCCGCCTTTTATACTACTTGACCTTTTCAACAGTATCGAAATACCCGCACCTTCTAAAGGTTCAACCTTTGAATTCGAAAACTCACTTTGACCATCTTTGACTAAATCATTAGCCATAGCTTGTACAGATTCCACCACAGCCATTTGAGGTTCGATTGTAGTCGACTCGGGTTCAGGCCCTGAAACCACTACTGGGTCAATGATGGTCAAAGATGAATTCGATTCCATGCAATTTTCACAAAGATTTGTGTCGTTTTCTACTTGTCCAATAGGAGGAGAGTACCCACAACCACATTTTGAACAAATTAACATCTCCTTTTGTGTACTGATATCCGAGACATCATCAATTGTTGTTAAAGTTGCAGGATCAAGATCTATGATATTTCTTGAATCGTCCAAAACTGAATCATTTCCATCATCTTTCTCGATCATAAACACTTCATCATCGACATCAACATCATGATCATCATCTTGCACCTTGACATATCTGCTAGTTGCATCATCCTGGCTAGCCTCGTGATCGGGATCATGATCATGATCATGTGCACCACTTATTGCCACCCCAGAACTTGCATTACTACTAGTTGTGACAGAGGAGTTCCTAGATATCACAGGATGATATGGGGAAGTTGCAATTCCAGCATGAAAAGTTGAACTCGGGACACTCGAGAGAAGGGGTCTGAACATATTTTGTCCTTTTCTATGATCCTACAAACAAACACCAAAATATTCAATAAGTAACACTCAAAAGTAGATTGCTATTCTCTGCAATTATCGTGACAATATGCATAAAGAAAGGGTAAAGAGTAAAGACTCATAATTAGTTTCAACTTTCAAGTGTTTTAGTAACCTACTTATGCATTTAATAATCTGATGATTTAGTTGTCTAAATCAATTTGATACTACCTGAAACAAAACTGATTGCCAAAAGGTATAGTAAACCTAGTGTTACACCCCTAGTTGACCGGTTATGTTTTAAAGGAAATATTTATGAAATTGATTAAAGAAATAGATAACAACATACCATTTGTCTTAGTGCAAGGTCGAAGGATCTCTTGGGAGCTGAAGAAGAAGAAATTGTTCTAATCGGCTTTTTGGAAGGTGAAGGTTTATTATTCTGAAACCCACCGACACCAACTCTTCTAGAATTTGGGCGTCCAACAACTACAACAACAGACGAAAGCGATTCCATGTCATCCTCAGCAGAAGACCCAACCGAACCTTTACTATGTGAGCTAAACCTATCTCTTTCATGGCTATGGGAGGACCCAATGCTTCTAGAAGCAGTAGGCGACATCGATTGTCTGCTACTTCTAGAAGCCGGTGAGGACCCACGTACATACGAAGCCGGTCGATCAGCCAATGAGGTTCTTAGATTCGGTGGGACCTCAGTGGAAAAACCAGGAATGCTGGATTGCCATGCCTTTACTTTTGGTGAAGCTGAATTTCCTCTTATACCCTTTGTAGTAGTTGTGGTGCCACTGCCATTAGTAGAGCCTGTGCTTAATCTTCGTGGAGGAGGGGGTGTGGAAGCCCGTGGGACCGGTTTGCGAGATGGTGGAGGTGATCTATGGCTATGAGCTGGAGGGGTATTATTGTTATTATTATTATGCCTTAAAGTAGCAGGTGGACTAGCACTGGCTGCTGAAGATGCTCGATGTCTACCTTCATATGTGCTGTTATGAGATCGAGGTGATAGGCTCACGCGATTTGGACTTGCACTTCCTCTACTACTTCTACGCCCTTTCTCCATCTAAATTATAAATTAAGTCAATAAGAAACACAATATGATTATAGCTCCAAAGATATATATATATATATATATATATATATATATATATATATATATATATAGAGAGAGAGAGAGAGAGAGATATGACTTACTGTTGGTGATCTGGAGATTGATATTGGTTGAGTTCGAGTTCTACCCCTTTGGGTAAGATTAACTTGTGGTGCTTCATCATCCAATGAGGCAAACAGAGGTGTGTCGGGAGGAGTTATTAACCTACATTTCATGAAAGAAATCGGTCATTGATATACCAATTTGGAATTTAGGGTACAAAAACAAATGATTACCAACCATTCATAATCATTCTTCTCATCTTCTGCGTGGAGGAGGTCACTGCTTTCTCCTCTAGCAGGAATGTTTATCCCAAGTTTGTAATCTGAAAAGTGGCGCAACTTATTTGCTGCACAAAATGCATACAATCAGACTCAGTAACAGCTAACAAACATCACTTATCAGTTATCATTACTTTCCTTTTTCAAGGAAATTTGTAATTTAGAAACCAAATAAGCATAAAATATTACCGAAAATGTCTTCAAAATCATCGTCTCCCTGAAGCAAGAAGTTATCTCTTTCTTTGTTTTGCACCTCATTAAACAAAGCAAGATCATCGTCTCTCTGTTTCAAAGGTACTCCGCTTTCAAGACTGCGTCCTCTCTTGTGATTATCAGCTCTTGGTTCTCTACCAGGAGAACATCTCATTGCTGGTGAAGGAGGCATTTTGTTGCCACAAAACTTCGTCCTAGGCTACCACAAATATCTTCCCATATAACTCCAATTCCAGCAAAATATCTTCAAACCGGACAATGGATGCTGACGAAAACCCTAGAAACTCCCCCGATAAATTCAAGGATGTGATAACTAGGCGGAAAGCTTAACATAATTCCATCCAGGAGAACAAAATGTGCTCATTGTTTAACATTATGCGAGCTCCCATAAATACAATTTAGCTCGTATAGTGGTTATCCTCATCCCACCAACTCTATACATATCATTGACTTCATAAACCCTAATTTTCAAATTAAAGTATCCCAATAACGTTACGAAGAAAACGAACCCCCAATTGAGCTAAGTCCAAGCAATTCCAACTCAAAAATCCTCTTCCAACACAGAATTGCAAGTAAAAATATCGCTAACTTACCCGTACCGAAGTCAAAAGTTATGTCGACGAACGCTTGTCGAACCAAACCGATTAAACACCAAACTGTAGAGAACCTCAGGTTAGAAACGGAATAATTAGTCGGATCCGGTAGGAAATTGGTGGATCAGGGAAGCTGTCGGTGGAATTAAATCAAAAGAGCAATAAGTATTGAGAAAGAACCCTAATGAAAGAAAGCATGGTCTGTATTCACGTGAAATGAGGTGGAGTATGGAAGGATAAAGTGAAATGGTGAGAGGAATTAGAGAAGAAGGTAGCAGAAGAGGAGCAGGTGTTCATCATCCAACCACTGTAACAACAACAGGCTTTAGTTTCTTTATGGATTCTGATCATCAAGAGATATAAAAGGTATTTTGCTTTAGTTCTTTCTGCCTCTTGGTTCACCATGTTAGTTGTTCTACTTCTATCGTATCTTTACTTTTAATTTTAGTCAAGTTGTAAAATCATATATAGATATTTATGTTTTATTTTTATTTATCAGTCTATACAACAAACGTAATTTTCACATAAGTTAAATATTATACCCATTTATATAATATTTTAACATTTAGAGAGAGAATGTCAGCGAACCTTATGATTAGGTTGGAAGAAGAAAACAGAATCAGAAAATGTGAAGTAGTTCTTTTAGTTGAAGTTATTATGTTCTTACCCCATCATTAACTACGACAATAATGTATCTAGACTGTAGAGAAATGCAATCTGTTTGTTCAAGCTAAACAGCCTAATTAAGTCACCCATGTGCATCCAACAAGATACAAGGTTAGGGATAAATGACCGTTTATAGACAAACGTTTTAATGTGGAGGAATTATGTTCTTTATTATGAATTTATTACATACCATTGCATTGAATTGAATGTTGATTTCCACTATGATTTGTAAGCATGTTACGTGAAACTTTCCACTATGATTTGTAAGCATGTTACGTGAAACTTTTGACAAAATCTATGTTATTTCTAAGAATAATTTATCGTTTTCTATAGGCATAAGTTCAACGTTAAAAAATTGTACTAATCCGTTTGTGAAAATATAGCAAATTAATTGAACTAATCATAATGTAATATGTATTTAAAAAAAATAAGTATTTTTTCGCAGAATAACCACCAAGTCCAACCGATAAAAAAATAAATATTTAATTGACATTCAGGTTTTCATTGTGCTAGCATTTCTTGCACTCGACGAGGTATATTGACTTCATGTTGGGTTAACATCGCTTGCATGATGGATTTAAAACAGTATATTAGGTGTCGATTGCATCGTATTGTTGATCCCATCAATGTTTTCGTCTCTTGTCACAACGTGAGTACTTTTAATGTTCACCATTTTAGGAAGTTTAAATTGATATGTCTAATACGATAATCAAAAGTTTAGAAGCTACACACTTAGACCACTACAGTTTAAAGACTAAGTACTACACTAAGCATCTAACTCACTTAAATTAATATTTTGATATCAACCGAAAGATCTCTCGGAGAAGGTGGTTTTAAAATGGTCTTAAAATCAGGTTGTCATCTTGAAATCATAGTTTAATTTTTAAAACATGTGCAGACAAACATTTGGTCACATCTCAGGTTTAGTTCAACACATAGAGATAGTATTACAATCAACCTCAAACAAAAGTAAATGTCTGATGTTACATTTAATATCATCTTCTAAATGTAACGCTCTGATCCTTAGGTATTAATAATGATATTTTAATTGTCTTTTTAGTACCTACTCGGCGAGTTGGCCTCCCTACTCGTCGAGTAGCAGCGGGCTTGCCAGTGAAGTTTAATGATCTACTCGCCGAGTTCGCTATGGGACTCGACGAGTCGATACTGACAGATGAAACCCTGAACTTCGGGGCCTTGCACCCTATTTAAAGGGTCATAAGCCTCCCTTAGCCTCCCCTTTACAGTTCTTTTCCTCCCAAAGACCCCTGATTCGAGTGTGAGTGTGTTCTTGGTGATTTAAGCTTGAAGGAAGGATTTTGTGAAGGGATCACTTGAGGAAACAAGTTAGAAGAAGCAAAGGACTCATGGGGATTCAAGATCTACCTTTGTGGAACACTTTCTGAAGGTATTAAGCTGTTCCTTGGCTCATTTCCTTCCAAAACCCTTTTGTGCATGGATTCTAGGAAAGGGCTTTTGTGTTTAAGCCAAGATCTGAAGTTGTAACTTCAGATCTAGACTCCTTTTGACCTTAAGATGCATAAAGTTATCCATTTAGCCTATCATGAGCCTCCCCTCAAGTGTATGACTCAATCCCAAGCTTAGATTTGCTATTTTAAGGCCTTAATGCCTTGCATGCACGTAAAGTTTGCAACTTTACGTGAAAAGCATGCCTCAGGAGCCTAGATGTGATAAATACTTTGTGTTTGCTTTGTTATGTGATTGCATGTTGTATGAAGACCCCGGAGGGAGCCCGTGGCATTAGATGTAAGACCATGTGGGGTAGCCCATGGCAATCCTAGGTGAAGACCATGTGGGGTAGCCCATAGCACTGGATGTAAGACCATGTGGGGTAGCCCATGGCAGTCCTAGGTAAAGACCATGTGGGGTAGCCCATGGCACTATTACAGGTTTGATGTATGCATGGTTTATGTGTGATGTTGTAGCTTTATGGCTATCAGGATATGTGATTATGAGTGGTATGCTCTGGGAAACTCACTAAGCGTTTCGCTTACAGGTTGTTGATTGTTGCAGGTACTTCGGAGCCTAAGGGCAAAGGCAAGGCGTGATGGCGTGGCGTGTACTCTATCTCTCTTTTTGACGTTTTGGGGACTCTCTGATGATTTCATAAAAATACAACAGTTATGTAATGAATGTGATTTGGAAACAAATGTTTTGAAAACTTATGGAATGCGTAATCGAATTACTTATTTAAACGAAATTTTTTCTTGTAAAATTTGTGGTGTTACACTAAATATACAAGTCTCATTTATCTTTAACCTGAGCAACATGTCAAAATATAGTGTAAGATATGAGAATGCATTGCGTGAAGACCTAGGGTCAACTTTTTCAAGAGCAAATGATGATGGTGATCATCCATGCTCAAAGTTAGACCTCCAGAAATAGTTTAAAATGAACATATAATCTCAATACCTTTTATGGTAGGCTTGTTAATATATATGTATTATACACTTAAGAAAACATAATATTTCCAGTTTCAAATTATTAGAAGGAATGCAAGGCATATGCTTTTAATCCCATTTCCAATGTACATCTCAATTTGTTTCACTGCGTAAATGGTCAACATGATACTACAATGTATGTAGCTCCACACAACATGGAATTAGTTGTGTATAATTATCCCAACATAGCATTATAATCAGTTATACAAAGCTATTAACGGAACTCAGTATGTAGAACAATTCCAACATAACATCTCACTATGTGACCTGTGGACCATGACATGTAACGTCCCAAAGATTAAGACCAAAAATTTTCATTTCTATATTAATAAAACCGTAATCCAAACATCATCATCATAAAATCAAGATATAACAAAGTGTATCAAATACATCATGAAGCATCTAAGTAATCATAAAATGCAGAACGAGGTGGTGTATACACTACAATCATCCCCGACTGTTTCATTTCGAACCAGAAGTACATGTAACAAAAACTAGAAATCGTAAGCACGAAGCTTAGTGAATTCCCCAAAATACCACATACTATACATAATAAACACGTAATAGGCCTCGCCCAGCATTGGGCCCCGACCGGCATCTGGCCCCGCTCGATATACATATAAACATATAAACATATAATCATACAACACACTCGATAATCACAAAGATAATAGCATACATAATAGTCATCAGGCCACGCCTAGAATCGGGCCTTGCCCGGTAATCATACAAGAACATAACACATGCAACAATCACGCAGACATCTAACATCCTAACATATTAAACCATGGGCCGACATTGGTACCTTCGACCCGCTAAACATAGTAAGGAAACACGCCTCTAGTTGTTGAATCACTCAACTGAATCTCTGACTGCTAGTCCCAAAAAAAAATCCTTGCGCTATCAAAATCAATAACATCAACTATTAATTGGATTCTAACCCATAATGTAACATCCGGACTTTCAGGTATGTTATTGTGTGAGTAATTTTGAGATTTATGGAGTGACTCGATGAGTTGTGAATCCAACTCGTTGAGTAGAGTCGAGTTGTCCGGGTGGGATTAATGTGACATCCCCAAAATCACTGCCAGAAAATATCGATTTCATTTATGCTTTTAAAATAATTTCAGGGTAAATCCTTTTGATTTAAAAGAGTTGCGGAATTTGTTCCTAAAGACAAAATATGATAAAATAATATTTACCAAAGCATTTCATACATAAATGTATTTTCATTATATAATCAAAACTCGGGATGTCATGTTCCGATACAGACACAAAAGCATAAACGACAAAAGATATACCATACAACAGTTACATATAACAACTGGTCTAATAAACAAAATAAATTGATGATTCATCCATCTTATGCACTCGCGCCACTACCTATAATACAAATAAATTGAGTGGGTCAGGCTTGGGAGCCTGGTGAGCATATTGGGTTTTCAACCCATAATAAATAATTATATTTAATTTCACCAACCAACAATAACCCGATTACCCATTCCCGTTATCCTCAATTTACGTCCCTAAAACAACATCTATTACCAAGGACCTAATCTAGGATTTTCATCGGGACCAACATTACTACAAAGGGGTTTCCTCAACAATAGATGTCCTAAAGGTAACCATGAGGGGGATAGAGTATGTCACACCCCAAAACCAAGAACGGCGGAAACGTTCTTGGGCGGAGGACGTCATGTACAGTATCACAACAATGAAAAGTAGTAAACAAGCAACAACATCATCCATTGCATTAATAATATAATTTTAATACAAGGGTGTTCTGTCAAAGTATAATATAGACACTAAAGTACAATCAAAATAAAATATGAGTCTTGATAGGGCTCCATCTTCTCTAAACCTTGCATCGGTACCTGTCTATCGTTGACCTGAGGATACAAGTTATTTTGAAAGAGAGTATCAGCTGTAAAGCTTATGAGATCATAAGTATTAATGTGTATTAATTTGTAAAACTTGTAATTAAAGACTTGACATTGTTTTGAAAGAAAGCTCGCATAAGTATGAAAATGTTTGTAGAACAACTGTAAACATTTGAAAACCCCTAGAAATCCCTATGATTCCTACTATTATAAAAGGAAGTCTTTTACCAAGACCTAACTGCTATTAATGTAGCCTTCTACCAAGATCCGACCGTGTTACTATTATTATTATTATAAGAAATTGTATCCTTTGGTACTAGGATACTCAAATATAATTCACCTCATCGGTTATGTGAATGAGTCACAAGATAAAGGTAATAATATAACTAACCTAAGTATTACCCTTTGGTACTAGGGTAACTAACAGTGTTAACTTAAGACATCCGTAGATGTACATTTACCTCTGTTGCTAGCAACTTGGTGTAGGAATAGTTAATCCCTTAAAGTATACCTGTAATGGTATCAACCGTTGACATCCGAGGATGTGCTTTTATCTTTGTAGATAACAGATATTCTAGGAATGGTTAATCCCGTAAAGTATCCTTTGGTACTAGGATATTAAA